GCACCCTCATGCCTGGCTGATTTTTTAATTTTTTTGTACAGACAGGGTCTCGCTATTGTCCAGGCTGGGCTCAAGCAATGCTCCTGCCTCGGCCTCCCAAAGTGCTGGAATTAGAGGTGTGAGCCACCACGCCTGGCCATTAAATATGTTTGAATCTCACTTTGTAGTGATTGTCACTACAATTTGTTGTTTTTATTCTGTGAGTCTGGATATCCAGTTATGCCTGCTGGCCTCTTAGGGGGGGCAGAGAAGCCAGGACCCCGCCAACCCAGGTGCTCCCCAGGGTGGAGGGTGGGGGCTGGGCAGGTGCTCACAGGAGGCCTCATTGTAGTAGACGCTGATCCGCTCCAGCTGCAGGTCCGAGTCCCCCACATAGTTGCCGCTGGGGTCTATGCCGTGCTCATCACTGATGACTTCCCAGAACTATAGGAGAAGTGGGAGAGGAGGGGTCAGCAGGTGGCCATGACCCCTGCCAGGCCTTTGCCTCCCGAAGCCTTCCCTCGACTGACACAGACCCAGGTTTCCAGACCCGGCCGTGCGCTCGCTGGCAAGGGGCCTTGGCCAGGTGACTCCTCCACAAAGGGGACTTAGTAATAAACACCTTGAGGGGTAGTTTTGTTATTTCTTCCTTTCAGACAAGGAAACGGAGGCACAGAAAAGGTAGAGAATGGCTCACAGGAGGAGGCAGAGCAGGGTTCAGAGGCCCAGAGTTCAGGATCATACTTTTGGCTACAGTATCTGCCCCTGAGCGTCAGAGCAAACGGCGTCCAGCAGCAGATCTGGAGGCGTCTTGAGCATCATTGGCCTCGGCCACAGGAGCCACAGGGGCCAATCCCACTGAGCATCCCCAGCTGGGTCAGCAGAGGGGACACTGGGGTCCCAAGTGGGAAATGACTTGCCCGAGGTCACCCAAACTGTCTGTGTGGAGCTGGCATCGTCCCAGTCCCGGGACTCGTCCTGTCACTACCGGGGCAGGAACTTAAAGTGGTTCTCGAACTCTACTCCCAGGCGTACACTCAGGGGCTGCACCTCCCGGGTCCAGAGCCCAGCCCCAGCCTTCCCAGCTGTGTTGCCTTGGGCAGGTCATGAGGGTTCTCTGTGCCTCAGTGTCCCCATCTGTATGATAGGCCTGATGACGGGTCTTTGTGAGAATAAAGTGAGTTAGTCTGTGCAAAGCCTACGAATGGTGTGTGGCAGATAGTGCTACACAGAATTATCAGCACAAATGTGTGCCCGCAAAGGCACACACCCTGGGGGAGAGGAAGGGCTGCAGCAAAGTGCTGCCGCATCCCGGGCCATCTTGGAGCACAGTGTCTGCGCGGGCGGGCAGGAAGCCTCGTGGGTCACATGCTGCCCAGCTTCCCAGGGCTGCCTGATCTCCCCCACGGCCCCTCCTTCTTGCTGTCAGGGCTGGAGTGACTTTCAGATGAGTTAATGGGTATGAAGGCCTCCAGAGACAAAGGGCCACTGATGTGAGTCGTGGCCTGGTGAAAAGATTGCTCAACGAGAGAGGAGGTTAGAAAACAGTTTGCACATGCTTACCCACATATGTGTGTCTCAGACACACACAGAACGCTGTGCCTGGGGGTAGCTCCCAGGGTGGGGACAGAGACTTCTTTTCACTGCATGCCCTTTGGTACTGCTGGAATTTTGTCATGTGCATGTTAGCTTTTCAAAAAAGATTAGTTAAAATAAATTTTTTAAAAAGCTTAGGAGTATGAACAGAGTAATTCTTTTTTTTTTTTTTTTTGAGACAGAGTCTCACTGTGTTGCCCGGGCTAGAGTGCTGTGGCGTCAGCCTAGCTCACAGCAACCTCAAACTCCTGGGCTCAAGCGATCCTACTGCCTCAGCCTCCCGAGTAGCTGGGACTACAGGCATGCGCCACCATGCCCGGCTAATTTTTTCTATATATTTTTAGTTGTCCAATTAATTTCTTTCTATTTTTAGTAGAGACGGGGTCTCGCTCTTGCTCAGGCTGGTCTCGAACTCCTGAGCTCAAACAATCCGCCCGCCTCGGCCTCCCAGAGTGCTAGGATTACAGGCGTGAGCCACCGCGCCTGGCCTGAACAGAGTAATTCTTATAAAATGCATAGGTGTCTGCCAGTTCATCCTGAGAGACTGTTACCAGAAGTCATCTCTGTGAGGGTGAGGACTGGGTTGCTTTCCCCATTTGTGTATTTCATCATTGCTAAGTTTTATTCTTCTTTTTGCATTAAATTTTTCATTAGAAAAATAAAATCACAGAAATCACGGAGGCATTTGTGGCCTGGTCTGAGCTTCCTACATGGTGCTTGGCCCCTGAGGCTGTCTCAGAGTTCCCTCCATTTAGGTGATGGCAACATGCCAGACCTGGGCCTTGGTCCTCAGCTCCCTGGGGCACCCCAAATCTCTGGATTCAGGGAATTCCACAGCTACCAGCCCCTGTAGAGGAGGAATGAGCTCAACCAAGTATGTGGGGGGCCAGAAGAGAGTGTTTAGTCGCTGTGCCATGGCAACATCTATGGGAAGTTCTTTACAGAGTGTGAAGCAATGAGCAGGGTGGCTCTGGGCCAGGGACTCTGCCTTTCAGCACCTCAGTTTTCTCATCTGTGAGATGGGCATGCTCATAAGACCCACATCAAGTGATAGCACAAGGCTTTACATAAAAGCATTCAGCAAATGTTGGCTTCATTTTTTTAAAAGATTTTAGATGCTATTTAAAGTTTCAAGGCCATGTGCACAAATAAATAAAACGGACAGAAAAGAAACCTTGTCCTCACTTGGAAAGGGGACCTAGAGAGGTGGTTAAGTGGCATTTTAGCCTTATCTGCAATGTTTCACTTCTTTTTTAACAAGGAGAATTTTTTTTGTTTTTGAGATAGAGTCTCACTGTGTTGCCCGGGCTAGAGTGAGTGCTGTGGCGTCAGCCTAGCTCACAGCAACCTCAAACTCCTGGGCTCAAGCGATCCTTCTGCCTCAGCCTTCCGAGTAGCTGGGACTACAGGCATGCGCCACCATGCCCGGCTAATTTTTCTATATATTTTTAGTTGTCCAATTAATTTCTTTCTAATTTTAGTAGAGACGGGGTCTCGCTTTTGCTCAGGCTGGTCTCGAACTCCTGAGCTCTAACAATCCGCCCGCCTCGGCCTCCCAGAGAGCCAGGATTACAGGAGTGAGCCACCGCGCCCAGCCAGGAGAATATATTAATAATTAATTGCTTTTGTAGTTAAAATTAATAAAAAACATTATTTAAAATAAAGTATCTTATCAGTAAAATGTATTATGCAGCATATTAATAAAAAACATTATTTAAAATAAAGTATCTTATCAGTAAAATGCATTATGCAGCATACTTAATAAATAATAAAACATAATCTTGTGAACTAAGTTGTTAGCGTCACCCCAGAAAAGAAAACTGCCCGATGAGGGGTCCAGGCTACGTCTCCTGGTTAGTGCCCCGGGTTTGGGTTTGTCTCGTGGGCGGGGCGGGGCGGCGGCCGAGCCGGGCGCTGTCCGCGGTGCTGACGCGCGCGCTCAGATCCTCCGAGAACAGCTGGGCCGGGCCGAGCGGGGGTGCGGCGGCTCTCAGTTTAGGCCCCTCCAAGACCCCAGACACCTGCCCTCCACCCCCACCCCGACCCACAGCTTCACGGTGACCAGGACAGGCCTCTCCCGCTGCCCGGGTCCGGGCCCCACCCCCGGGCTCCGCCCAGCAGCGAGAGGCGGGGGTGCCCGGGAGTCCCCGGCAGCTGGCAGGGGCGCAGACAAAGGCTCCTTCCAGACGGCTCAGGACTGCCCTGCCCCTCTGGGGGAGGAGGATGGGGTCGGGGCCCAAGACCCCACCAAAGGAAACCACCACACTCAGCTGCTCCTTTGGGGGGAGTCATGAGTCCCCCCCACCTTTCCCCTCAGGCCAGTGTATGATTGCAGACAAGTGACTCAACTTCCCAGACCTTTGAGCTTTCCTAATCCTGGGGAGGACCAGACCCATCTCCCCACCTCATTGTGCTAAAGCCCCAGGGCAAATTGTGATGAATCACGTTACCACTTAGGAGGAGTGTGTTTGCTTCTTGCCTGAGATCACCTTCACCTCCCTCCACACCCCCCTAACCCCAGCCAGGTCCCTTCCCAGAGTGAGTGGGCCCTTCTGAGCCAGGCACCACCCTAGGACCCCAGAGCAGGAAAGCAGCCCCACTTAGCCACCCAGTCAGCTGCTGCTGCTGCTGGGCGGGGAAAACCTGCCACACCCCCACCTGCTGCGGCACACACTAGCTATAGGAGGCGTCCTGTCTGTGGGGGAAGATGCTGAGCCGGCAAATCCCCGGTATGGGGCCTGGCCCAGGGGGCTTGGAGTTTGATCTCCGGAGACCTTTCAGGGCAAGAGGGCAGGACAAAAAACACCGAGCTGCTTTATTTGCACTGGTTGCCACAAAAGGCAGCAGTGGTAGAGGGAGACACTATGGGCCCCTCAAGAAAATTTACTTTTCTGTTGTTTGCACTATTCAAAAGAATCAAATATTAATCTTTAAACAAACATAAATTAGTAAAACAACTCGAAAGGAATAAAAAGTAATGGAAAAACCTAAGTGCCACTGTGCTGAGAAGCAGAACAAATCTCAGCCCAGGACATTGTCCAGCATTTAGGTGACTACCTCTGCCCACAGAGGCCCAGGAGGTGTCTGTAGTGTGGATCTGACCTCTAGGCCAGGGCTCCCACAACTCTGGGCACATCCCAGCCACACTGGAGTAGGAGGAGTAGGAGGAGGAGGAGGAGGAAGAAGAGGAGGAGGAGGAAGATCACCAGGGAGGCCTCAGGGTTGCCTGTCCTCCCCCACCCCCCAGTGACCACTGACCCTCCCAGGAGCAGATGTTCAGAGCAGGCCTGGGCCCAGTGACCACATCAGTGAGCCCTCGACCCCTCCCAGCAGGCCAGGGCATCTGTCAGAGACTCCCCGGAGTCCTCATTTGATTTGTGGCCACTGTGCCCCAGGCCTCTCCTCCCCCAGCCCCTCTCCTTGGCAGGCACAGCTGTCTTATGGGGTGATTAGCAAGTCCTCCTGCTATGGGGCCTCTCCCTCCCCACATCAGGCACCGCCACCCAGAAGCCAAAGTTGCAATTTGCATGTCAGCCACGTGGCTGCCCAGCCCTGTTGTAATTAGCTTTTTGTTCCTGCCTGGTTTCTATGGCAACAGCCTCCAGAGGAAGGCTTTCCGCGCCCCTTCCCCTCCAGGACCTGCCTCCACCACCGCAGCCTTAAGGGACCCGGCTCAGCACCACGCCTGAGCTGGGGCCCTGGCCTTGGTCCTGACAAAGCCACTCCCGCCCCACATTGTTCCGAGGGAAGACCCAGCCCGCCTGAGTCCTAGGTAGCATCTGCCGGGGCTGAGCCAAATGGGCAGCCCAGCTCGGTCTTGCACTTGCTGGGTGACCTTGGGCAAGGGACGGCTTCCTAGGACTCGGGACAGGACATGACCCCGTGAGTTCAGGCAGCGATGAGGCCCCCGCCCGAGGCTCCCTGCAGGGTCACTGCAGCAGCATCTGCGCGGGGAGCTAACAATGGGGAGAGAAAGGCCGGGCAGCGATGCGGCCTCCACGCCCCGGAGCTTTGTTCCCATGTCCAACCTCCGGCCCGGTGGGCTCTGGGTGGGCGCAGTCCGGCTCGGAGGGGGATCTGCCCAGGCAGCGCTGTGCCCGGGGATAGTCCAGTCCTGGACCAAGGTCACCCTGACTCCAGGCCCAACCCCTCTAACAAAGGAATAGGGTGGGGCTAGGAAGCTGAGGGTTGTCAGAGCGAGGCCGGGGACAGCAGCGCAGCACCGGCCTCTGGGGGACGTCCGTTCCTCCAGCAGGGGGTCTGGGCAGAGGAGATCCTTAGGCCTTTGGGGGAGGGCCCCACCCAAACCTGCCCACTCCACCCATCTCACGGCCGCAAAAGAGAGGGCCACGCCCAGACGGCGCCCCCAGCTGCACCTGCGGAGGCCCCTGGAGGGGACACAGGTGCGGATGAAGCTGAGGCTTCGGGGCCGCGCTGCGCCGCGCCCGCCAGCCCGGGTCGCCCGGGCGGGGGCCGAGGGAGGGCGAGGACTCCCGCGTCCTGGCCGCGCGGCGCGGGGCCGGGCACGTCCCTTTGTTCCCGGCTTGGCAGCGGCGGGTGCGGCTCGGGGTGCAGCCCCGGTGCACGCGCCTCCCTCCCTGCCGGGCGGGCTCCGGGCGGGGACGCGGGACAGCGGAGGGGGCGGCGCGCGGCCTCACCTTGGCCCCGATCTGGTTGCCGCACTGGCCGGCCTGGATGTGCACGATCTCCCTCATGCTGGGCGCGTCTGCGGGCGGCTGCGGGACGGGCGCGGATGGGCCGGGCTGGCTGCGGAGGGTCCGCCGCCCCCGCCGCCCGCTCTTATAGCCGCGCCCGCCCGCCACGCCCCGTGACGTCACCGCGGGCGGCCAATCCGCGGGCGCCGCCGCAGCGGGTGGCCCGGGCCCCGCAGCCTCAGCACCGCGCCCCGCGCCGGCCCCCGCCTCTCCC